TGATATGTCAATTCTGTGTCCATCATTTTTTATGTTTCCATAGCAACCGCTAGTTTCATGTAGGTTTGGCCAAAAATCAACTTTTTTGACCTAATTCTGTATTTTTTCCCAGTTTTCTTGATCAAATTCCAGAAATTCACCAATATGCACATTTCAGAAGCATTTTGGCTTGATTTCGTATCAATTTCTGTTATTTCTTGACTTTTTAAGAAAAAAGTAAAATCCAAGATGGCGGATCCAAGATGATGGGTCAAATGACATCATTTGGCATCATATCATGTCACAACCAACAAATATGGTATCATTTTGTAGAACAAGCTCAGGGTTATCTAATCAATGTAAGTTTAGTACGCTGTGCGTTAACAGAACAAAAACCACACGGGGTTCCTTCCATTTCCCCCTTATACCACAGTGGGGGTACGAGTTAGCTTATACGTCCAAGGGTTAAATAACAGTGCAAAACACCTAAATTCTATTCGTATAATCTAAATATGGGAATGAACGGTCGTGATGTTTGAATTCTAAAACGTTGATTAGTTAGATGAGAGTTTTTCTTGGCATATCTTGCTTTTTAGATTACTCTTGAAACCCTGCTCAATCATCAGAGGTCAAATGCTTGATCTTGCAATTGATTAATGTCAACTCTTACTTTACACTCGCCATACCAACTCATCATATCACATCGAACTCATCAAACTCGTCATTTGGCATCATATGACGTCACAACCAGCAAATATGGTATCATTTTGTAGAACAAGCTCAAACTATCTAATCAATGTAAATTTACTACGCTGTGCCTAAACAGAGCGTAAAACCAAGAGGGTTCAATCCATTTCCCCTTATACCACAGTGGGGGTGCTAGTTAGCTTGTACTTCCGAGGGTTAAAATAACAGTGCAAAACACCTCAATTCTATTTGTACAATTTAAATATGGGAATAAATTTAAATTCTAAAACATTGACCAGTTAGATGAGAGTTTTTCTGGGCAAATCTCACTTTTTAGATTACCTTTGAAATCCTGCACGATCATCATGGGCAGGTCACATGCTTGATGTTGCAATTGATTATTGTCAACTCTTACTTTACACTCGGCATACAAACTCATCAATCCTGAGAAGTATTCTTTGTTGACATTATTGTTTGCCCTCGTATATTAACTCTTGAGCTCACCCAATGAATATTCATTTCATGCGAATCGAGTTAAAAAGCATCTATGATTTTTCTTTTTTTTACTTTGCTGCATCAGGCAGGCAAGTAAATCTTAATTAGTATAAAGATAAACATTGTGTATATAATTTTGAAAGCATGGGAACAAGAA